TAGTAGTGGTAGTCTTCTGAAGACTAGTAGTAGAGATAGAGGTAGTAGCAGTATGTAGTAGTAATGTAGTGTATATCAAGATTGTATTCTAAACCTTCTAAATTGAAATGGTGTGTTTTTTAACTGTGGCTATTTAAATATTTTAATCATTGTCTTGTTGCTAGTCATACCTAATTTTTTTCATAAGCCTTCCTAGAACTTGTCTTAGAATACTAAAATATTTTCAGAGACTACTTAAAGTGGTGACTAAATCTTATAAGGGAATTTTGTAGCATTTAAGTTTTTGGAGATAAAACTCCTCTTTCTCCTGTTAAATTTGTTTGCATAAATAGAGGTCTGCCAAATCATCTGAGAAGCACCTATTAGAAGTGAGTTAGTATCCTCTTTTTTACAGTGGTAATACTCATTGTGATAGGAAAAGAACTCTGTAGTTAATAATACAGAAGTTATAAACAGGCCAAAGAAGTACAACATAGTCCTAAATCTATAATTCTAATAGATAATACAATTTGTTTTTGTTTTCTATTATAAAGAATACCCTACTCTAAAATGTATCACTGTCTTTTTTTCTTATTACGGTGTTCCAAGGCTATGTTCATGAACATGGATATTTTCTGTCAGATCACGTATTAAAGCACTATGAATTTTTCTACAGCTATATTTTTGCATTATGAATTGTATGACAATATATGATAATATATATTTTATTATATATACATAACTAATTTTATTGTTATATAAATCTGTACATCTAAGCTAATCGTAAGAAGTCTTGTCATTAAGGAACTATTCCAGCTATTGGACCTCCTTCCCTTGAATGAATGTTTTCAGCTTTTCTATTCTCTCCTATTCACAGGCTTAGGTAAAATCATAATTTTCACAACATCATACTTCCTTTGCACTAAACTCCAAAACATATGGGGAGTTGCACCGTACAATGACTGTTTATGCATAAATGGGTATCTTGTGCCATTTTTAAAGCTCTCTCATTCCCTCAGCTATAATAGATAATTATAAATAATTTTAATTTATTTTTATTCAATAACCATTGTAGAATAATAAGTATATTATTAGATTAATAGATTAGATTAGATTAGATTAGATTAGATTAGATTATAAGACTAAAAAGAAGACTTTCTCCAGGCAAACCCACACTATCAATTCAAGGCAAAAAAGGAAAAATCAGTTTTAGAATTCTAGTAGTGATAACTGTTAATATGTTATCATAGGCCATTAGCATACATTGTTCCTTACAAAATAAACAAAAATAAACAAACAAGACATTTGACCTAAAGCACCTTATTCCCTTGCCTTCTGCAAGCAAACATATGTTCTAGCTGCAATAGAAATTTTATCCTTTTCTAATTATTAAAGCATGCAAAATGACTAATTTTCAGTCTACACTGTCCATCTGTGTCCTGTTTTAATGTAGAATGCAATACTATTTCGAGAATCATTTCCCCTGAGCCGAAACTAAAAAGTGCTGACTAATGCTATTTTTTATTCTTTTTTTAGTGCATGTGTCAGATCACTGTATTTTAAGTTCATTGTTATAGACGATTAACAATAGATGATTGCATTTCCCAACTTCCAAAATCGTCATCTAACAAGTTGAGAAGCTTGCCCCCATACTTTCAGGAACTATGGAAACAGCTATGCAGATCCACAGATTCCTAGAGCAGATGACAGTATATAATTGAGTGGGAAAACCAGTGTGACTGTCCAGTGTAAGGACACAGGTTATTTTGTCTTTTGACTTCTCCCCACCAAATCAGGTATATCTGCTGTCAATATCTTATTTTCCTCTCACCAATAATGATTCAAAAAGAAGGCGAAAAGAAAAAAAATATTTTCTCCCTTCCACTGATGGAGAAATACAAATATACCTTGCATCAGGTTCTGATAATAAATCTGGAGACTTAAACCATTGGAGCAGTTATTAGTTTACAATCCCTCAACCCACATATTACAATTACAATTACAATTATGGTCTAAAAATAATTAGAATATATTAATAATACCTAATACCCAGGGGTCGGTTTCAAATTTTTTTACTACTGATTCTATGGCTGGGGGGGGGGCATGTGACTAAGTAGGCGTGGCCTACTTGACATCATTCATGTGCACACAGTCGAAATCACTACCACCTCCAGCTGGGGCACCCTGCACACATGGGCCACATGGGAGCCCTGAGGCAACCATCATCTCCTCCAGCTTGGGCGCAGCCGGAGCCAGCCCAGCGCTCTATGCACATGGGCCACCTGGCAACCACTGTCTCCTCCAGCTCAGGCGCAGCAGGAGCCAGCTCGGGCACCCTGTGCACATGGGCTGCCCGGGAGCCCCGAGGGTTCACAATGACTGCCGCCTCTAGCTTGGGTACAGCCAAAGCCAGCCCAGTGCCTTGTGCACATCGGCCACCCGGAAACCCCAAGGCAACCACCATCTCCTCCAGCTCGGGTGCAGGCAGAACCAGCCCAGCGGCTGCACATGGGTGGCCCAGGAGCCCTGAGGCTTCAAAACTACCACTGCCTCCAGCTCAGGCGCACATGGGCCACTCCAGGAACTTTTTGGGTGCCCAGCTTGCCAGGCTGCCAATTGCAGTAGCTTTAGAAGATGGGCTGGGAAGGGGGGGTAGGCAATCTGTGTTGAACTGCCTGCTTCCTTCTCTTTGAGAGTCGCCTTGCAAAATGTCAGAAAATTCCCCATTTTAAAGAGAACGAAGTGGCTGCAGTGCTTCTTCAGAGGAGCCGAGGCTGGAGGGGGTTCATCACAGCTCTGGCCTCGGCTCCTCTGAAAAATCCCCACACCTGCTTCCTTCTCTTTGAGAGTCGCCTTGCAAAATGTCAGAAAATTCCCCATTTTAAAGAGAACGAAGTGGCTGCAGTGCTTCTTCAGAGGAGCCGAGGCTGGAGGGGGTTCATCACAGCTCTGGCCTCGGCTCCTCTGAAAAATCCCCACACCTGCTTCCTTCTCTTTGAGAGCTGCCTTGCAAAATGGGGAATTTTTTGACATCAAAGAGAAGTAACCGACTGCCGGCGCTACTCCAGGAACTCGATCTGTGGAATCCAGTGCTCTGGGGGGAAGGAGACTCAGCCGCAGCCCGATCCCTATGTGAGAGGATGCCCCCCACCAGCGGCTTCCACATCTTGCTCCGTTTCTTCACTGGTGGTAAGCGAGACCATGGCCGAGGCGTAGGCAGGTGGCTGGGTGGGAAGGCAATGGGCTGCTTTGGAGCCCAAAGCCCCACGAAGGCAGCACAAGAGGCACGCAGGCCTGGAAAGGCAACCTTTTCTGCAGCATCCTCCTCCCCTCTTTGGCTCTCCCTGCACAGGGGTGGGGTCTCTCTGCCTTTGCAAAAACGGAGTGGGTGCATGTGCAGCAGCCCCAGGATGTCCGCTTGCCCTCCCACAGCATTGCTGCTGCCACCGTCCCTCTCAGACTCAACACAGCATCTGCGTTTCCATCAAGGGCCATCTGTCCACCCACTGGCCAGGCCAGGCTGGACGCCGACCTCAGAAAACAAGTGGGCATGGGGGACTGCCAGTAAGGCCACATGGAAGGCAGGGAAGAATGGCAAGGCCACAGGGAAGGGAGTTGACTGCTTGCTTCCGTCACCGCAGTCCTGCTATGCTTCCTGCCTTCTATGCAGCCTTCCGCTTGCCTGCCTTCGCAAGCTGGCCACAGGGATGCTGGGAATACCTCAACTTGCCGGCTTACCTGGCAGACAGATCAGGGGTGCAGTGCTTCAGGCAGACAAGCTGTAGAGCAAAGACTGGGTGTGGCGGAGCCAGCAAGCAGAAACCGGCGAACCGGTTTGGTTGCATGGCCAGGCTGCCATTACTACTGGCTTGGAAAGGTACGCCAGATTTTTACTACCTATTCAGCTGAACTGGACCAAATAGGTAGGAACCCATCTCTGCTAATACCAAAGAAAACAAGTGCATGGCTTAAAGAAAAGGGCTACGTTTCAAAAGAGGAAGAATGAACAGAGAATAATGGATAGGCCCATCTAAGATGGTAATTAGGCTTTAAAGAAATGCTGCCAGACAAGGCTTGATTTGATTATATAGAAAAGAAATCTGACTTCTAATATCACTCTCATTTAGTTATTCATAGCACCTAAAAAATGGGAGAGAAAGCAGGTATTTTCTTCCTGTATCTTACAATACTTTATCCCACAACTTCTTTTTTTTCTTAATTTAATTTACTGGAGGCTGGAAGAACTGGTAAAAAAATCAAGATTATGGCTACATTCTGATAATAAAGAGAACCAATAGAAGCTTGCTTTATTCTAAGTCCTTGTTTCAATATCAATCTCTAGTTTTAGCTGCAATTTACAAAGTTACCAACATAAAAAAACCTTCAATCTACTAAATATAATATAGCACACTTATAATTTTGTATTGTCTTCCATGAGTATTATCTCTTCCCATAATGTCTTCCAGACTTCAGTTTTCAATGTAACATCCCAATTAACATCCCCATGAAGAAATGTGTTCCATGGTCATTTTTATACAGATTTAGCCAATTCAGATGTTCCAGATTGATTTATCAATTGGAACTGATGTTGAAATATATATTTTTAGAATGTTGTTCACAACTCCAAATCCATACCCAGGTACCCATACATATATTATAAACACATGCACTAACAATGCATCTCCAAGATAAAATGCATTGTGTGCATGTAATTCAATAGAAACATGTATAAAAATATAGGTGTATTTTTAATTAGATGATTGATTCTCAAATGGAAATGCCAGTATGCAGTTTTGGTTGGAAAATTAAGAAGCTGAAGAATTCACTTCTCTTAATTACAATTAAGCAAATTATTTTGACAAATTATATAAATGTATGATCATCTTACATAATAATGAATCTGCAGTACACATAGATTTATTACTATTGTGGCAATCTGGCCAGGAAAGAAAACCTTAGAAAATTAAAATTCAGGTCTCGTAAATTCTTGGATTTGATATCTAGTTGAATTTCACTCTCACCTTTCACTTGTTCAGAACACAGCTCCTTGGCTTTGGCTTTCATTATTTTTGGAATCAAAATATCCTTTTCTACATGTCTGAGTTTTGGTTCCCCTGAAAGAAAGAAAAATATACATAACATTTCCAACCATAGGTAAAAGTCACAGCTGAATTCAAAGAATAAGATGCAACATGTGAAGTCCAGAATTCTGAACAAGAAATAAATATAACTTCTAACATGGAGTTTTAAGCTATTTTTTTTTTTTTTTTTTTTTAGATTATTTTTATTTTTTGGTTACATAGACAACAATGGGAAAGGGAGAGGATAGAGAAAAAAAAAAAAAAGGGGGGGGGAGGGAAAGCCCATCTTCACATACAATATGTCGTTTAATCACAGGTGCATCCCTACTAAGTTTATACATCCCGTATCTCTCTATTGTATATTTAATAAGCACCACAATAAACTAGAGTTTAAAAAACAAAAAACAACAAAGTAAAACAAGGGAGAGAAGAAGAGGAAGAAAAAAGGAAAAAAAAAAAAAAGGGTGAGGAAAGGGGGGGGAGGCCAAAAAGAAAAACAAAAAAAAAAAAAAAAAAAAAAAAGTTCAAAAAGAGAAGGGGAAAAAGGAAAAAAAAAAAAAGGGGGGGGGGAGGGGGGAAGGCCAAAAAGGACAAAAGAGGTCCAAAAAGGAAGGGGAGAAAAAAAAAACTGGTATATATAGGCAGCGATGCTTTGTTGAACAATGAAGGAATAAGATCTCTGTTTGAAGGTATGAAATGCAAGGTCAACAATGAATAGAAGTATACTCTTTGGGGGAAAACAATGCCAATGTTAACTGAATATATATGGTAGAAGGAAAATGAGACCTTTAGTTACATTAGAGGAAATATCTGAGATGGTAAACATTATTTGAAGATGTAGATGTTAAAACAACCGTAATCAAACGACATGCTGCATGTGATGATGGTTTTTTTTTTGTTTGTTTGTTTGTTTGTTTGTTTGTTTTTGTTTGTTTGGTTTTTTTTTTTTTGCTTTTTTTTTTTTTTCTCCCCTTCCTTTTTGAGTTTTAAGCTATTTTTAATTCCCATGACTTTCATTTAGCAATTCAGAAATTTCACTGAAATTTTACTACTCACTATATTTGTAAATAATATATCCAAGAAGGCCACTGGCTAAGATAATCCCATTTTATCTTCACACAATTCCTGGTTTTACTATATCTGAGCAGCAAGCAATATCTGAATGAACTCTGATTTTGCCAGTCAAATTTTACTACAATCCTCACTTGCTGGGAGGGATCCTCCTCTGTGATCGCATCAGGCTCCAGTCCAGGGAGAGCCTTCTTGTGTTGGTCTTATGGCAGATGCTCTCTAAGGCTTTATGCCTCTGCCTTTCATATTTAGAGCCAGGTTTGGGAGGATTGGAGCCAGAGCTTGCCTCTTTAGCCGCCCTGGAGGAGGTGTGCTTCGTTTTGCTCTTTGCCTTGCTGCCCCCACCCTTGGATGGACCTTCAGGGGTAAGGTCTAACCTGATTGGGGGCTCTTCTGCCCCTCTGGTGGGGCTGCTGGCTGTAGAAGTGAGGACTTGATTTCTGCCTGTGTCCTCCGAGCTGCAGGAGGCCACCATCTTGGGTCACATGGGGATTCTCCCCCATTCTTTTCAAAATGGCACTGCGCGGCAAATACAAACAGCCCTACCGGTCAGGCCTTTGAAAAGTGGATTGTGCTACTAAGAGCTGTGGCACGCCTTCCATTTTCTCCTGTGGCCTCCTGCTGTTATCAGTGGTTCACAGACAGCTTTGCCACCCCCTCCTCCAGCTGCTTTCTTTTCTCTTCCTTAAAGGAGAAGACCTTCCTTAAAGGGGAAGACTCAGTAGCGAGCTGAACCTCGTTGCCCCGACTGGGCTTCTCAGGCTAGTCAGGTTCTCACAGAAAAGGGTTGAGTAGGGCTTGCATAAATCGTGATAGCAAGGTTGCCGGAATACAGGATGACACAACCATTCAGTTGAGGAACTGAGTCAAAATTGGGGAATACCTGCTGATAGGGGCGTATATTAAAGAGGTTATCAGACTCAGTTCAACCAATGAGAGAACAAGGTCAATCCATCATGGATACTCCTCCCTTCACTATCCAGAATTTCAAGTCAATCTCTTTTTAAACTACTTTATAATAAATCTTTAATGGCATTATTTAGGGAACAATCCAGTGTATCAGATAATACTTAGTTTCCTCTTCTTTTAACTCATGGCATTTTTCATCTAGATTGATATTAGGCTGCATTTGAATAAAATAGTCATTTTGACTCACTTCTGAAAATTGAAAAAGCCTTCACATGTTTTGGAACATTTTAAAAAGATTGAAAAGTTACCAGTGTGAGATAAAAGTAGGCCTGCATGGAAAACAGTTATTCCCGTCACATTTACCCAGGTTAACCCTAAGAATGCCTGGAGAGAGGAATGGTCAGATCGTTTCTTGCAGCCTGACCATTAGTTATTTTTCTCTACCAAACTACCTGATTTTAATTTGGCCTGCTCTAACTGAACAAAACTGAACAGAGTTCGATGTGATACTGGAAAAAGTGCCTCTGTGCTGTGTCAATGGAGCTGGAAAGATTCTCCTGTTGCAAAGGTGGGGATAATATGCAAACTGTTAAATATATTGTACAAAACTGCCCAAAGTGTGTGTTTTCTGGTTCCTTAAAAGATCTGCATGAAGCAACACCAGAGGCGAGTGATTGCTGGATAACTGAACTTGACATCCAGGTATAATGCCACTGCTGTACTTCTATAAAAGTTTTGTGTACAATTATGTGGATTGTGTGCATTTATCTACTAATCTAATCTTTGTCTCGTTCTCATCATATACTAAATGAATAATAAAGTGAGATAATATAACAGAATTGGAAGGGACCTCTGCAGGTCTTCTAGTCCAGCCCCCCCCCCCCTTCAAGAAGAAGACCCTATACTTATATAAAATTGTGATAATTCCTTTTTCCTTTTCCACTAATTTTCTTTTAATTGGGTATTTGCTATTATATACAGGTTATTGAATTTTCTATAGTACAATATTCAAAACAAGTATCAGCTGTATTAAGATTCATTTTAGAGATGGTACATATTGCTCCAATCTGTTTTGTTTCATCTCCCTTTTGCTAATGAAGCCCTTCGTACAATAGTCAAACAATTATAACACTTGCAGGCTTTGATCAAATAAAATATAGCAACTTCTTAGTTATCTGTAGTGAGAAAGAAATAGCTACAAATAATCAGCTGATCCTTGTTCTCTTTTCTCTGTCAAGACATCCATATTCTATATAGTATTAATAACTGTGTGAGCAAATAAACCAGTATAACTTGGTGGACTTGGATTGATTTCTAAACCTCACTTTAGTGACAATTTTTGATATAAGAAAGTATTCTATCAAACTAATACTTATACATGCTGAAACTTTTATAAAGACTTTTTTTAGTGGAATATGATGTAACTTTCTTAGATCACCAGGTAGCATCTTAGTAGTAGGTTGTTTTACCTTAGTCAAGCATTAGACCCAAACAATTCTATTTAACAATTTCACTGCTTTATTAGTTTTGCATTTATCTGATTAATAATTATGAAACCAAAGAATTACTATATACAATTGATTGGGAGTCAGTTCTTCTAAATTAGGTAAGATTAACATAAGTCAAATTCTAAGCAGTTTGTTTTATTTTCTACCTTAAAATTATTTAGAAAATTGCATATATTTCCATTATCCTTAACTTTTAAATTTTGAGATTTTTCTACTTTACATTTGCATCAATTCAAATTAAGAGAGAGAGAGTAAGGATGGCACTACCAAGAGAAAAAAAATTCAAAGCTTTAACTTCTCACTATGCTATCATCACCTTGAAGTCAATTTTCACCTTTTTCACTGGCTGAATCTGTTATCTTACATTTTGCTTTGGGGCTCATGTGTTCTTGCAATATAGCAGTACTGGATTATGAGAATTCTGACAAGCATGTTTGCTAAAAAAAAAAAAGTCACAATGCTCATATTCTTGAAGGTAGAAAATCAGATTCCAAACTAATTCTATAACAATTGATGAAATAAATATAAAAATATGAATACAGATTGAGAGCAACTGTACAAACAAATCAGTGGCACAGATTCAATTACTCAAATATAAAAGTGAATAAGAATAATAAAAAGAAAATAAATATATCAATCATTAATTCTTACTTTTGCAAATACAGTTCTGTCTGTTCAACAAGAAATGAGAGATCAGTCAAACCTATGAAATTAAAGGAAACTACAATAACTAAAATGCAGGGACACAAGGGAAAGTGTGGGATCACAGCTTGCAAGAAAAGAATTAAACTTCTTTGCATGCTGCTTTGATGTAAGTTCTCCTTGTGTTCAGTATTAATTAAAAAGCATTACATACACTCCACGTAAAGTAATAGATCAACAGGCTTCCAATAACAGAGATGATAAATTAATCTTCTGCATCATAATCTAATTGAAGCTGTGTGGTGAAATATCAGTTAGTGTATTTGAATTTAAACTAATTATATCAAAATTAGCTTAGACTTTAAATCATCTTAATTTAGTTTAATAACCCTACTTATATCAAATGTTTCACATTAAAGTACTTTTGTTCGTAACTTGAATTTCTCAATTATGCCTTGTATCTAACCATATCACTTCATTCCCCTTTCTCAACTTTCCAGGATGTTATATAAATATCAAATATAGTACCTCTTACCATAATCCTTAGCCACTCCAAAGGTAATGTATGCATCTCTGAACATAAACATGAATGTAATTATGGAAATGCAAAATTCCACAGTTAGAGAACAAACACACTAAGTATATTGATGATTCTCCAAGTAGTTATTACTCAAAGATGCTGGACTATATCTCCCATAATCATATTCACTGGGAATACTTGTTTAAATTAACACAACTGGAAGGTGGCAAGTTAAAAAAGAGGGACCTAAACTTCCTAGCTGTTTTACTATGTACCACATAGAGGATGGTCTTCCAAAAGAACATCTTTCCATTACTTTAACTCTACAAAAATAAGGCGGGTGGTGGTGGAGGTTAGAGTTTTAGTATTAGCAAATGAAAAAA